GCAGAAATCCTCGGTAGATCTCTCTTCCTGTTTCCCTCGTTGTCAAGAATACAACTTTCTTGTCAACAACTATCGACAAACACCTTATTAACCGATTCATCCTCACTGCCTACACCAGAATCACCTTACCAGCAAAGCGATACGTGGCTAATACACAAGAGACGACAAAGACCGAGTGAGGAACAAATCAGGAGCAACCCGAGAGTCAGGGAGTCATTCATCAGTGCTTCCCTAATAATTATTAAATGTACTTAGTGACCCGTGCAGTTCATAATAATCAATAAAAAGCATGTTTTAAGACTCAACTTGAAGGCAACGACTGACTTCACTGACCCAGTTTCCTTGGGCAGGTTGTTGCAGAGCCCCCAGGCCCTGACTTCAAATGCTCTCTTTTCATTTTCAGCCAGGCCCCTAAAAACTCTGCCCATGGCTCTCAGGAGACATACTGGTTCATATGGTAGTAAGAGGTGAGACGTGTAGGCGGGAGGAAGACCATGAAGGTCCTTGATACTAATCAATAAGCTCTTACAATCAGTTCTAAAACAAACAGGGAGGCAGCGTAAAAATGCCAGTGATGTCATCCTGTTTCTTTGTTCTAGTTAAAAGTTAAAAATCTAGCAGATAAATTCTGTATAATCTGCAGTTTTCCGTAGGATGGTTGGGGGTGGAGTTATGGCTTGACCACTGACTAATCAACAGTTATTAGATAATTTATTAATCACTATCTAGGATAACATTATGGAGTTTTTTTCAGTGTCCTTTTTGTAAAGTGTTAGCAAAGGATGCTTTAGATGCCAAATGCAATAAAGATTTCTCATATTTGATTGTATTTCAGTGTGCCCAACCCTTTACAGGAAAATAAAGCATTTAGTTCAGTTTTAAGGCTTTAATATGGTAAGGCATTACAGAGAAAACGCAAACAATCAGATGATCCCTGCAAGTAATCACGTGGTGACAGCGGGAAGGAAAAACTCTTTAACATGAAGACACCTCTGGCACAGCTGGACTCAGCTGGGGTGGGATTAGGCTAGCATGATGTAAGCACTCGATACATTAAGAAGCTATAAAGTAACAATAGTAGCACAGCAGATAAATTAAATAGTGCACAAGTATCAGGACTCAACATAAAGCACATAAAGTGAATTTGATGTGACTAACAGGAGTTTAGCGGGTATGTGGTGCAAAATGAAATTGTTGGGGTGACCTAACTTCTATAGAGGTGCAGTGGTGTAGTGGTTAGTAGTGTCACCGCACAGCCCGGGGCCTTTTTGCATGGAGTTTGTATGCTAACCCTGTGTCTGTGGGGGTTCTTTGCAACTTCCTCCCACAGTCCAAAGACATGTACGGAGTCAGGCTAACTGATGATTCTAAATTGGCTGTAGGTGTAAATGTGAGTTTGAATGGTTTTCTGTCTCTCGCTGTGTTAGCCCTGTGACAGATCAGCGAGCTGTTCAGGTTCCACCAAGCTTCTCTTGCTCTGTGACAGCTCTGCTAGGCTCAAACAACCTTGGATAAGTGGAAGAAGATGAATGGACCAGATTCTGGTCCACCAGATTCTCCACTAAGGAAAATCGCATCCATATTTCTAACATATTCTTTCCAAACGTGTCGAGTTTATTACTTTAATGTGTTAAATTCTGCAGTTTGGCTAACAGAGCAAATCAGAAAAAGAAAAAAAAAGAAAAAAAGTATGATGAATTATGGTTATTATTTTTTAACACATGGTCTTACTGCGTCTTCCAATTTGTTTGATTTTTATCAATTATAACGTCAAACGCAGATTTGGAAGCGTAGCACATACAGTCAAGGATGCATGTCCGAGCTGAAGAGCTGTTTCAGTGTAAGAGATATCAGGGTGGATGATGGGGTGAGGTGAGGGTTAAGAGGGGGGGGTTAACAGCGCTGGTAGGATCAGGTGTGTGCCTGACAGAGGTTGTGAGAGGGGTGTGTGAGCAGGAGATCAGTTAAATCTTAATGAAGCGTGCTTTACAGAGCAGGGATGGACAGGGTCAGCTGCATTGGGTGTATGTGTGTGTGTGAGACGGTAAAACTGATTAAAAGCAGCGTTTACACGTCTGACAGGATACAGTGGTCAAGAGGTGAGTGGAAACCCA